ATATAAAAGATGTGGGTTTCAATTTACAACACTGACAAATTATGCCTTGCCCAGTCATAGCAATAACTTACCATCTAATTTCTAAGTTTCTAAAATTACTTAAGGGCTACTACATTTTTCTATGCTTCAATTTATTTGCCTTACAAGGGAAATGTGAGATCCAATTAGAGCTAGCGGCAGATTCAGATAACTTCTGGCTTCTGTGTTTTCAAAGGGAAAGCTTCTGTTTGCTTCTCTGACAGTCTAGCTGTCTAACCTAATGCAAAGCATCCAGACAATAAAACAAACCACAGACAGTCCTTAATCTCACCATGTTTGAAGATCTAACCCATAAACAAAGGTATGTATAAGGTTTTATTTTATTTTGTGTGTGAATAATTTATATTAATTTTTCTGTTTTACAATTTAGAATATTCATTTAAACAACCTTAAAATGTCAATGACTTCCCTTCTCTTTCCGTGGTTCAGTGACATCTGGAGGACCACAGGTTCCTCATCCCTTGTGTAGAGCCAGTCTTCAATTGGTTTGAATATCTATGGGAAGACTTGGGTGTGGATTCCAGTGGCCATTATGCAGTAACTGGCAATATGAACAAAAGCCACATCGATGTCCTAGAAGACCATCAATGAGAGCAGAATTCATACATAAATGTGGCAGAAGCTGTGCTTTTGAAGACAGAGTCACTGTAACCTTGATTGATCATGACAGAAAAGAAAAACGGCCTTCATCTACTAGCAAACAAAAGTTCAGGAATCCTTGGAACTATTTGCTTAACCTTGCGTTTGAGAGAGATCTGTTGAAAGTGAAGCATTGTACACATTTCGGCAGACTGAGGTCACTTGGTTTCATTCCCACCTCTTTCTCTGCAATCCTGTTTTCAGCCATGTCACAAAGTTTCCATGTTCCATTCGGCTTGTCCGTAATAACATATTTGGGACAAGCAGTTGTTATGCATCAAGGTAATAAAAAGCAGGTAGGCAACTAATGGAAAAAGGTCAGGATGTGGGTGGATAATCAGCCCAAGATGACATAATAATCCCTACCCACCCTAATTTCATACAGTAATGTAGGATTTCATACAGTAATCTATATATTGTTTGGTCTTAATGCTACCTTGCACAACTCTGTTCTTGGTGCTCTCTGCACAATTAATTTAGGGACATGACCTGTTTAAACTGGTTTTGAAGAAGATAAACTGGGAACACTGCCTTAGCATAATCCATCATAATCCAAACCCAAGATCCACCAGGATAAAAGAGTTGGGATGTGGTGGACATTGGACTTTCCCAGCTACCCAGGCCTATGCTGGCATAATCCCTCACCCCAGATGAGCTGGAGAGACACCAGCATAAGTCCCTCACTCTGGTTCAGTTGACAGAACTTAAGTTGATGTAATTTACACTAGTCTGAGTCCCTGGGCACAGCAGGAGTGGGAGAGGGCAAGGACACACTTACACCTATTCTAAAGCTTGCTCACCTCAGTCATATGACCTAGGGCCCAATCTTCAAAATTTGGGCCCACTCACTAATGGTTCAGACAACAGTAACCCCCCTCCAAGAGGTTCCTGAATGAGATTTGGAACAGGAGTAATCACAGGGCCAGTTCACATGGAAAGGAATCTCAGGATAAAATAAAATGGGGAGGGGAAGTTCTTGGTGTGTCATCTTTAGCTCCTTGGTGGAATTGTGAGATATAAATGCAGTAAATAAATCAAGAATTGCAGCTATAAAGAAATAGTTGGGTGTCAGATTAGTTGTCACCTGCCCAATAATTGTCTGTGCCACCAATGGAAGTAAGCTTAGGAAGTGATAATATTGTCATGGAAGTATGCCATCTCAGATTTTAGCCCCATAGTCAATTTGGTATAGGTCATATACTGCCTAGGCCTAGTTTTCTCTGTCTTTAGGGTGGAGATGAATGCTGAAATCCCACTAAATATCACCACATGGTTTATGATGGTACCAGGATGATTTTCACTGAGCAGTTTGGGAAAGGCTGTGAGATTGTCAGATGAAAGGTGCAGTGTTATTATAGCTGGAGTGAATCTTTGGAGGCTGGGATTATTACAATGCTTCCCTTATTGACTACAAAGCCAGCATTGGGTTGCTAAACCCATAAAATTGCATGAACAGAAGTCCAAAGGGTGTGCTCATGGTTGGCTCCCAAACAATGGATCACACTTTATAGCAACCAACCATTCATTGTATGTCTTGACATTTTTCTAATCGTTGTCATCATCTTGGCAAATGTTTCACATAATTATATAGTTGGAATCCTTACACCAACCTTGTAAGTATTATATCCCCCACTCCAGCACTGCAGATGGAGCAGGAATTGATGGCACAGGTGAGGTTTATACCTGAGACTTCCTGATTCATTCATCTCTTAAACACTACACTACATCAACTTTGTTCTTTAGATATCTATGTTCTTATAAACAATTGTGCTTTTATTTATTTCTTTTGTTCATATCCCAACTTTCCTCTACAGAACTCAGGGTGGGGTACATGGGGCTTCTTCTACTCCCATTTAATTTCACCTTGTGAGGTAGGGGTTGATAGAAACTGGCCTGAGATTACACCATGAACCTCATGGCTGAATGGGACCTTGAGCCCGAGTCTCTCCCTGGTTTAAGACCAAGTATTTCATCACACAGTCTCTTAAGCTAAAATCATTCTGAACCATAAAAGCAAGAAGAACCAAACACTGGCTATCATATGTGTTCAAATATGGAGATGTTTTAAAACCTACAACAGTATGATTGAACTCTGTTTGGGACAGAGAATCTTAGTGAAAAACTCAGAACTCAATGGCCAACATGCAGTCTTGACCACAGGACATTGCACGGGGAAGTTTATTTATTTAAAATAGTTTTCTACAAAAAAAAGGGCAATGCAACTCAAAAACCCCTTTCAAATAAGGCACATGCATTAGACTAAAATATGTACAATAAAATACAGCAGAGCCACAGTAAGTCAGGCAATTTTTCAAAGGCTTGTCAGCAAAAGCCTGAGTAAACAAACAGGGTTTTCAGGAGGCATTGAAAACCTAATAGAGTTGTTGTCTGCGTTTTTTCAGAGAGAGATGTTTCCACAGATTAGGCACCATAACAGAAAAGTTCTTGAGAGTCAGATTCCCTCAGAAGGTGGTAGACTCTCCTTCATTGGAGGTTTAAAAGCAGAGGTTGTATGGCCATCTGTCATGGATGCTTTAGTTGAGATTCCTGCTTTGCAGGGGGTTGGACTAGATGATCCTCAGGGTCCTTTCCAACACTACAATTCTATGATTCTGTGATTTCAGCAGACTGTGGTGCAACTGGGAGGGCCTCATCCTGATATCTTAATAACCATGCAGGTTGAAATTTTAGTTCCAATTACATTGGCAAAATTCAAATATTGGAATCAAAATCAAGTAGAACATTTGTATTGTGAAATTTTGAATTTTCAAATTGAATTTCAGAATTTCACATTCAGCTATTGTAGTCTCATGCAAAAGAATGAACATCACATTTAAGTGCAGCTTTACTGAAACTCTCAAACATGATCACGAACAACCCCCAAATGGAATATTAGGAGAGCTGCCTATAAACTACTAGGTTCCTCTATAAACTATAAATCATATGCGCAAGCAATGTCTCAAAGGCAAATAAGCCATAATTTAAAGTGAGTTTTTTTAAAAGCAACAATCCTATAATAAAGAAATAATGTTCTACATCAGTAAAATTGTTGGAAGGGAACAATTATGCTCCTACAGCAATCCCAGAAAGTAAGAGCCAATATGTTGCAGTGGAATATGTAGATGAGTAGCACCTGGGTTCAAATCCTGCTGCACTGTAAAGCTCACTGGGTGTTTTGGGAGCCAATCACTATGGCTCACTTTAACATATCTCACTCGTTGGGGCTTATTTCTTCCTTCCTACTATGCTTTTCCGTTTAAAAACACACAAAGCAGCTTGCAAAAGTTAAAAACAACAACATACAACAATTAAAAAGCAACAGTACAAACAACACTAAAAGCAGGGTTTATTTTTTCATTTTTAAAAAGGAGAGCATACCATTATGAGTTGGGGGGATCAGTATGGAAGATGCCCTGAGTCCCTTCCAGTTTGGGGGATTCTGTATCTGTGGCCGTAGAACATATAACAGCAAGCTTGCCAAACCAATGTCCAGGTAATGGCTTTGGCTGACTAGGTGAGCACCGTAATTAGCATAACCAAAGAAGTTACTCTGTGCTGCAGAACAAGTGGGTGAGCTGTAGTCCCTCCCTAAGGATGTAGAAATCACTGTTCTTTATGTTTTTTCTCCACTTCCAGACTTGAAAGTCCCATGTATTGTACACCATCTTGGGCCCTGGCAGAAGAGCATCGCTTTCCCTTCCCATGCAAAGTTCTGTGGTTCCAACCCTGGCATCTCCTAGTAGCATGGTGATGCCCCCTGCTTGAAAATATGGAAAGCCACTGCTGGCCAGTATCTGCAATATGGTGCTAGGCAGACCGATGGCCTGACTCAGTTTAAGGCAGCTTCCAGTGACAGAATTGAAATGTGATGTGCGTTTTGAGATAGGAAACTTCATGGTCCCACAATAAGCAAGCCGATTAGGATATACAAGAGGCACATTCCTTTCACACCAATAGGCTAACAACAAAAGTGGAAGAAGGGGACCATGAAATGTTATTGTGAGCACCAAACACTTTTATTCCTCTCAACTTACAGCACAGCTGCCTATCTTCAGAATCACCACCAGGCTACGTTTAGAGCAATAGCGCCAATTTTTCCCCTACTTCAGAGTTCCAGCTATAGTTCTCCAAGGCTGCTGAGAGTGGTTCCCAGTTCTCTGAGTGCCCAGGAAAGAGAAATTGGTTTTTAAACCCCAATGTGAACTGTAGGTCTGCAAGAGGAATAAGGTAAACAGTTGAGTTTTCACCCCCTTTCAATACTTTAAATATATTTCTTTATTTTTTTGGTTACTTCATCATAGAAAACTTATTTTTTGTGAAGGGGACACTACAGTGGTACCTTGGTTGTTGAACTTACGGTAATCTGTTCCGGGGGTCCGTTTGACTCCCGAAACCAAGGTGCAGCTTCCGATTGGCTGCAGGAGCTTGCTGCACTCAAGCAGAAGCCACATCAGATGTTCGGCTTCCAAAAAATGTTCGCAAACCAGAACGCTCACTTCCGGGTTTGCTGTGCTCGGGAGCCTATTTGTTCAGGAGCCAAGCCGTTCAAGAACCAAGGTTCCACTGTACTTCTTAGAGCTTCTGGTAAAGCATGGTTTGCCTCATGGTAGGGGAAAGAGGTCCTGTCACAGCCCACAATCACATGTGCATAGTAGGTACGGAGTCGTAGTTAGAGTGCTGGGCAAGGACTGGCAAGTCTTGAGTTCAAATCCCCGCTTAGCTAGGAAGCTGAGTGGGTGACCTGGGGTCAGTCAACAGCTTTCAACTGCTTGTGAGGATAAGATGGGAGAAGGAACCACATACAGAGCCAAATGCTTCTTAGATACAGTAAATAAAAATATTCAGTAAAGTCAAAGAGCTGGATTTCATTTGCAAATTCACAGCATTCCAGGTCCAGAACACGAAACTTTCTCACCATAGTCACTGGCTTACTCCAGTCCCTAGAGGCACAGAATGATGACACTGCATTCTGCCTTTTCAGTCTTGCAGAGAAATGTTCCTACCTGGTGAAGAAGCCAAAAGCATCATCCCGTTACTTCAGTTGTGTAGGTTGGAGGCGCTGATTACGTTTCTGCCACTGGGTAGTCATGGATTTTGAATACTCTCCCCTTTTTCTTTTAAAAAGTACATTCTCTTTATAAATGAAGACTGTTGTGCTGGCTCGCTCCCCCTCAGAGAACTGCAGCTTGAACCAGTTATTTGTTTTCTGGAAAATATTTGTGTTTTCCACGAGGCCACTGAGTCACAGATAGCCATAAGGACTGGCAGAAATAACAAGCCAACGCTTCTCTTTCATGCTGCTAAGTGCCCAATAAATCCTATAAGCATGTACTGTGCTAAAACAGAGGAGCATAAATAGACTTTATGAAGGCTCAATGCTCATTTACATTTTAAAGCTGCTCTGGTAGCCAGAGCTCACATTTTATTTCCTGGAATTGTAAGTTGTCCCCTGATAGGGAGGTTTCTTGGGCTACAGGTTCTTGGTATAAATGACTCAAGACTTCAAAAGTGGGCAGCTAGACAACCAAGGACGTACGATTTTTTGTTACATCAGCGTGAATCTCAAACAACAAATGGCACTCAAGACCATTCTAGCCATACACGTCAAGATGGCTGTGGGAGGCATTATTATAGCCAAGCAGTTCATTGTAAGTTTGTGACTGGAAGTGGGCACTTCTGAAACAGATCCTTCAGGTGCCTCTATTTTCCAGGAACAGTCCTGGATTTACAGAAGCCGTTCCAGTTTCTGATTTGATCCCGGAATGTCCTGTTTTTCCTTAGAGAATGTCCCTGTTTACACCAGAGAAATGTTGGAGGGTATGGTAGGATGTTCCTACTTTCATCGTAAATTTTTTGGAGGTTATGGAGTTATCTGACCCCTGAACCATGTTATTAATGTTGGAAGCCACCCAGAGTGGCTGCGGCAACCCCGTCAGGCGTGAGGTGAAAATAGTCGTCTTCTTCTTCTTCTTCTTCTTCTTCTCCTCCTCCTCCTCCTCCTCCTCCTCCTCCTCCTCCTCCTCCTCCCTCCCTCCCTCCCTTCCCTATTTTCGTTGGTGAAATGTTGGAGAAGAAGATCATGCAAATATTCACAGTTTTCGAGGCAGCTTGCTGATCTACAAGGTCTTCAACAATTGGTGTCAGTTACTTTCCCCAAGCTAAACCATGTCTCGTATATACTATCCCCCACCCATCTGGTAAAGAGGCCACAGGGCCACACACACATTGCAAAAGTGTCATTACAGTGTGCTTTCACTGCTGGTATCCTTGACAGGCTTTGAATGGGCCATTGAGAAAATTCCAAACTGCACCCCCATGAAGCAAATATATTTGCTCAGTTGTTGAGGGTGTGTGTGTGTGTGTGTGTGTGTGTGTATACACAGGCACTTTTAAACACATATACCCAATCAAAATATTGTCGAATCCGTGGTGCTTCTTTACGTCAAAGGGGTTTGTTTGTTTGTTTTCAAAATCACAGAATGTACTTTTAGACTGCTTGAAATTTACACTCTCTTTAAAAGAAAAAAAATCATGTTCTTTTCTTAACACACAGGCGCGTAGGGAAAGAGTGCAGTAATGAATCTGGCATGCTATCAGACTGTTGACTTTCAGCCAAATGGTGATCTCAGCTTCACTGGCTTCATTAAGGCTATTCTGGATTTACACTGGTTTTTGCTGAAGTCAGAATAGCAATCTCTGGCATTCAATACTTGGTTGCACTGTGCTATTTTTAAATAAGATTAACAGACTTTTTACACTTTATCCCAGTGGAATAGTAAAAGATTGCTGGGTCTATGAGGTTTAGGTCCCTTTGGTTCAGGGTTTGAGATGCCACTTGGCTTCCTGCCTTCAAGGATGGCATCAAGTTCCAGCCCTGGTTCCACTAGGATAGGGGAAATCTGATGATTTCGGTTTCCCTCACCTCAGGTTTTTTTTTGGTTTTTTTGGTGTAAATCATCTCAGTGCAATTTTAAAAGGGTGAGGAACATGAAAATCTTTATGCAATTCCATGCACATTTCTCCTTTTTAAAAAAAACATACTTTTGTACAGTGGTGCCCCGCAAGACGAATGCCTCGCAAGACGAATGCCTCGCAAGACGAAAGAGTTTTCCGTTTTTTGAGTCTTTCCGCAAGACGAATTTCCCTATGGGCTTGCTTCGCAAGACGAAACGTCTTGTGAGTTCTTGCGAGTTTGTTTCCTTTTTCTTAAAGCCGCTAAGCCGCTAATAGCCGCTAAGCCGTTAATAGCCGCTAAGCCGCTAATAGCCGTGCTTCGCAAGACGAAATAACCGCAAGACGAAGAGACTCGCGGAACGGATTAATTTTGTCTTGCGAGGCACCACTGTATACAGTTTTGCCTAGCGCAAGGTGGTTTTTTTGTGGGTTTTTTGCAAGCAATTTTTCCCTAAGAGAATGCATAGGGATTGGGCTAGATTACCCTTGGGATCCCTTCCAACTCTACAATTCTATTCTTCGTTCCGGTATGGTATTTTCACTTGTGTGCATTTTGGGGTTGGAGAACGACGTCGCAAAATTCAGAGATGTGTGAATTTCAGAGGAGGGTTTGCAGATTGCAGGTTCAGGTTGCGTGGATTGAAGCAGCTTTCCTTAAAAGGCCAACTTTACTCCATGCACTTTCTCTGTGCTATGCGCTATCACTTCTAACATGTCACTTCTCACCTCTGTTTTCTCTAAACTAAAAAGCCCCAGATGCTTGTTTGAGGAGGGAGGGATCTGTGAGTGGGTGTGTAGCAACCTCTAACTTTCTCACGGCTGGAATGCAATCTTCTGCAATGGTTAAATGCATTGCTCTGCCCACCACTGGCATGCAACCCCTGGAATGTTGCCCATGGAGGAATGTGGCCTGTGGGCTGCAAATGCCACACACATGCCCACCACCCCAGGCCTTCTATGACATATTGCTTTCTGCCTCCCTGGCAACTGTGGGGCATGTAAGATGTGGATGCAGTGATGGAATTTCCTTCCCTTGCAAACTCACTGAGCCCCATCCCATGTTTTGAAGTGTTGTGTGGATGTTTGACTTTCCTCTTTGATTCTGGGTAGCTGAAACTAACTCAGTAGAAGGCTGAACATGTTCCCTTAGACCAGGTTTCCTCAACCTCAGCCATCCAGATGTTTTGAGACTACAATTCTCATCATCCCTGACCACTGGTCCTGCTATAGCTAGGGATCATGGGAGTTGTAGGCCAAAAACATCTGGAGGGCCGAGTTTGAGGAAACTTGCCTTAGATGATATGGGGGCTTAAAGAATAAGTGGCTGGGAGGGTTTTGTTACCCGAGTTTGCATGTAATGCACAGCTAGCCCCTCAAGTCTACCTCTGGAGCCCTAACTGCTGCTCTTCAGCATTCCTGTAGTCTTCCTCCTACTCAGCTGCATGGACCGAAGCTAGTTTTATAAACCTCCCAGTGCTGATCTATAAGATTTTGTCTTCATTCCGCCCTTGAGGCTACTTCCGACCTTCAGTTCGTCAGGAAAGTTATAAAATCTTGTAATTGAATTAGTGTGTACAGAGTGAACCCACTTCCCATTCCCCACCCAATTTCACTGTTGCGTTCAGCGATGGGTTCATTGCTCATTGCTCTTGCTTATACAGCCCCAATGTGGACCATAGTTAAGAGGTGGAGGGGGTGTACAAGTTTCAGCAGAAATGAACTATATTAATTGTAAATCAGTCAAGAGGATCCCACTGGACAGGAGTTCCAGCATTAATACTTTAAAGCCTGATGACTATATAAATCATTTTGCACAGCTGCAACAGTGTATGTTGATGCAGTTTTGTCAGAGGGGGGAGAAGCGGGAATGAACATCTGAATCGCATCCAGGCCCATTCCTTGTTATTACAGAGCATCTATTCATTTTCCCACTTGATGGGAAAATCTTCAGCTTTGTCGAAGGAGCATTTTATAGAACAGCTTTGCGGAATATGTGCACGCTGGGAAGGCAGCGTTGGCCATCGATGCTTCTGTTTGCCTTTACACATAAATTACAGCCATGCTGTAATTATTCCTCTGAAGCTAAGTATACTGTTTCAGAAAATATTTAAACAAGAGTGTGCTGCACATTTAGCTGAAAGCAATACATCTTGGAGAAGAGTCAGACCTTGGTTGTGGTGCAGTAAATCCAGAGCAGCTTCATGGAACTCAGTGGAATTGATAATTTTAGATTTACACTACTGTCAAAGATGGCTTCTGGAGCCATGTCTGTGGGAACATCAGCAATTAATCTTAGATGTTTTTAGGACTCCATACAGTGGTGCCCCGCAAGACGAACGCCTCGCAAGACGGAAAACCCGCTAGACGAAAGGGTTTTCCGTTTTGGAGGCGCTTCGCAAAACGAATTTCCCTATGGGCTTGCTTCGCAAGACGAAAGCCCATAGGGAAATCTCCGGGACCTCTTTTAATGGCTTGCGGTGGGGAGCAAAGCCTCCCCCCCCCTCCGGCCTTCTGAGGCGGTCCCGTATGGCGGGGGGGGGCCGAATGGATTTGCCCCCCACCGCCAGCATTTTAAAAGCCGTCCGGGATAGCGGGAAGCGCTTCCCTGCTATCCCGGACTGCTTTTGAAGGCAGGAGAGGTCCGCGAAGCCTGGGCGTGCTGATCTCAGCGCGCGCAGGCTTCGGCATGCCGGCAACTCTCCGCAAGCAGCGGCAGTGCTGCCGCTGCTTGCGGAGAGGTCCGCGAGCCTTGGCTGGACAGCTTTTGAAGGCAGGTGGGGGGACAAAGACTTTCGCCCCCGCCAACCTTCAGAAGAGGTCCAGGACCTCTTCTGAAGGCTGGCGGGGGCAAAAGTCTTTGTCCCCCTGCCTGCCTTCCCAGGGGCTTTAAATTGCCCCGGACAGCGGAGAAGTCCTCCGCTGTCCCGGGGCAATTTTAAAATGCCGCCCGCCAGCATTTTAAGATCGCCCGGACAGCGGAGAAGCCCTCCGCTGTCCCGGGTTTTTAAATGCTGGGGTGGGTGGGAAGAAAAGCCCTTGTCCCCCCCCCCAGCCTTCAGAAGAGGTCGGGGGACAGACTGTCCCCGGACCTGGTCTGAAGTCGGTTTCCCTAGGAACGCATTAATTGATTTTCAATGCATTCCTATGGGAAACCGTGCATCGCAAGACGAAAAACTCGCAAGAAGAAAAAACTTGCGGAACGAATTAATTTCGTCTTGCGAGGCACCACTGTATATGCTTCTTATAACAAGAAGAGGAACTACCCGTGCTCAGTATTATTTTTACTGAAACATGAAAAAATGGGGTTTGTGTCCACAGATTAACTCAGACTCCCACTTAGAATGTTGGGTGGCAGCTGATATCATGCAGGATGAGGGGGAATACGAGAAGTGTGCCATTTCAGAATTTGTTGATGTGCATTAGCAGAATAATCAAAAGCTTTTAAAATGATGTGTACAGTGTATTTTATTTTATATGCTGCTCTAACGCACACCCTCTGGAATGTGCGACTTGCTGTATGTCTGTTTAGTGGTGCAGGATTTTATCATTATTATCAATGCATGAATGAAACAATTGCACCAAAACCCCATCTTTCACTAGAGATGTCAGTTTTATTTCACAAATCTAGGATAAAACGATCTCTGCAGTGGCCAGAGAACTGGGCAAAATCTGAAAAGTCATCCTGTGAATGAGACTCAAACAAAAGATGACATTAATCCCATTTATAAAGCATAGCTCCAATTACTATCAGCATTGGGTATCAACAACTGAAAACAATAGGGCAAAGCTGAAGAAGTCTCTGTAGTTGTTTTAAGCTGCTTTAAAATCTTGTGTAATCTTTGTTTTAATATCAACATTGTGTTTTGATTGTAATAACCTGGGACCTTAGGGGAAAGGGCGGGGAATAAATGGTAGTAATAGTAGTAATAAATAACGATTCTATATCTGAAATAGGATGCCTCATGGATCTTCACTAATGGTCAGATGAAAGGAGGTGGTCAGATCCATCCAGACAAATTGGCACTCTTTACAACAAGAATGGCTTGCAGATTAATGTTTGGAAAAGTTAAGGGAGGTTGATTATAAAACAGCACAGCTAGCAAAAGAATGAAGTTGAAAATTATTCACAAACCAAACTCCCCCCCAAAAAAACCCACCTTTGCTTTATTTTATCCCATGTACAGTGGTACCTCGGGTTAAGTGCTTAATTTGTTCCGGAGGTCCGTACTTAACCTGAAACTGTTCTTAACCTGAAGCACCACTTTAGCTAATGGGGCCTCCTGCTGCCGCCACGCCGCCGGAGCATGATTTCTGTTCTCATCCTGAAGCAAAGTTCTTAACCTGAAGCACTATTTCCGGGTTAGCGGAGTCTGTAACCTGAAGCATATGTAACCTGAAGCGTATGTAACCCGAGGTACCACTGTATACTGACTCCAGCTGCATATACTGAAAAGTCTGTGTGGCTTTCTGGCTGAGAAGAAGAGATAATGTGGATTGCATATTTCAGCATAAAAGAACTACTTCCTGTCAATGTCTATATTTGTTAGATAGTTGACTGTGCATCTCGGATTCTAAGGAATGAGGAAGGACATAGGTTTCTTGGCAAAGACAAACATGACCACAAAGCAAAATCGATCAATCAATCAGTTGAAACCCCTACTGTGTGTGAATGACTTGCATTAGGAAGCAGATGCTGGAATTTAAATGGGGTGCGAACTATTTAAATAGCCATCAGACCACAAATCCCCTTAGGCCTGATACAGCAATCTGTTAACTACATGCATAGACTTCTGCAATTTTTATGCTTCTAATAACTTGTCCAACTGAGAAGTCTACACGCTCATCCTTATGCAGCAAGAACTAGCACTGGAAAAGGGGTTTCATTTCTTCCCTTCATTATGGGCATTTTTAAAGCCCCCCCCCCCTTTGGCAGAGGCAGATATAATTTGCAGGCCTCTCCAAAGTGCATTAAGCTTGCCAAATTCCAGACAAATATGTTCAGCAGGTGATGTGCTGGTTGCCTTTAAATTTTAATTTCTTTTTAAAATAGGAAATGCCTATAATGTTATCTTTTAGGCAAAACTGATTAAAATTTGCAGGCATGGTAGCCCCTTCCTGCGGTGACGAATTCTGCCAGAGCAGCAGTTTCCTTCCAGTGTTGAGTACATGGGGTAAAAAAGGAACCATATAAACTTTTCTAGAGATTTTTGGGCCTTTGGTCTGAAAGTAGCAGATATGGAAGAGATGTCCCTAAGTAAAAAAAATCTGCCAAATTGCTGACCAATTGATCCAGTAGGTTTCGTGCTAGGCATTTTTAAATTCGATTTGGAAGAGGAGAAACAAGAATTCACTTTGCTCCCCCAAATCAGTGGAGTCTCCATACAAGCTTGACCTGTCAGTCACAATGTAGTTCTCCCTCCTCCCTCTCTTGTCCTGGCATTTGCCCCACCTTCCCCATAAAATTCCTTACACAGTAAGGTCAGACATATCAGTACTGTTCTTTGTAGACACTTGCCTGTAGCTGCTTTGGTGTCCAAGTCACTGAAGCACCCAGAGGTGCTTTAGAGGTGCACCGCTTTGACCTAAGGTGCCATGCCCAGATCCTGCTTCACCTTGGAGAAGCCCAGAATCCCACTTTATCTCAGGATTTGGGATTTGTTGGAAGTTGCTGCACACCCCTAGAGCAAACTATCATCTTAGATGGCTGATACGTCAGTGTTTAAAGTTCCCTGGCCCTTTTGTAGAATTTGAGCCACAAGGATTCTTTGGTTGAAAGCCATAACAGTTAAGCAGCCTGGAACTGACTTAGATTTATATTATGGGCATGCCTGTGTTATGCTGCCCGCAGCATAAACATATATTGCTTAGCAAAATCATAAATAAGGTGGCTCCATTCCGAGTGCAATTTGTGGTGTCTCAGATTGTTTTGAGACCAAGATAGTTACTCCACTGTACTATCTATCCATCTATTAGTAAAATATTTATATCCTGCCTTTCGGCCCCTCGCCTGTGTCTTTGCCAGACAATGAATGAGATCCGCAATACGTCCAGTAATAATAGTAAGCAATTGCCTGTTTTGAGAAATAAAAACACACAGGGATGACATTTTTAATGATGTCCTAGCCGCTCCTAGGTTCCAAAAAAGTAAATTTGAAAGAACTTTGTAGACACAAAATGTTTTACATTAGAGGCAAATTTGTGAGCCAAGAATAAGTTTTCTTCCATGATCCTGAAGTGAGCTTTGGTCCTGCAACATTTTGAAGGCCACAGGCAGTGTTGCCAACAGAATTTCTTGGGTCTGGTAAACTGTGTGTGGATTGGGGCCCTGTGCACACACTAGCAATCTATGGGAAAGAACTGCTGTTTCTGTACGGATCTTAACTTGGATGGTGTTATGGCTTTATTTGCCAATTCATTTTGCACTTTAAATTTTTGTTTTATGGATACTGTATATTAATAACAACAGCCCAGTGATGACAAGGAAACCAGTAGTGGCTGTTTGAAGGGCATGGAAAATGAGGGGAAGAGTAATATTACCATTTTTTTCACATTATAAAAAGAACCTTATTCATTTCAAAGGAATTAGTTCTGAATAAAACACACCCGAACCAGCCAATTTTGTTCCATAAATACAGCACAATGCAATCTAATAAAGGTGGAGGCAGCTACCAGTACTGTGCGTCTTGAATGACAGGAAAAACTGGATATAAGGAACTAAATATAAAAAGCTAATCCTCTGTCATATGTGTTAACATTTGACCTGCTTTCACAATGCTGGACCCCTGCAGAAAGTGATGACCAGGCATGATAGTCTGGGTCCAAGAATATTTCCCCATGCTTGACTTTCTAAATGTTCTGCTTAATTAGCTCACTTCGCTGTTACGAAAGGAGCTTTATATTGTTATTGCATTTTATTTTCCCAGCCAGTAGTACGAGGGGAATATAGCATATTTATTACCCACATTTGCACCGAGCAAAAAGCCTTCAGTGAAGCTGCAAGAGAGCACTCACAAAATGGACTGGTTCACATCAAATCCAAACTCTTCTTCTTCTTCTTCTACCTTCCTTTCTGTCATGAACAGGAAAAAGGTGTCAACTGGACAACAACTTAGTAAGTCACAAGCAAGAAGAAGAAGAAGAAGAGTTTGGATTTGATATCCCGCCTTTCACTCCCCTTCAGGAGTCTCAAAGCGGCTAACATTCTCCTTTCCCTTCCTCCCCCACAACAAACACTCTGTGAGGTGAGTGGGGCTGAGAGACTTCAAAGAAGCGTGACTGGCCCAAGGTCACCCAGCAGCTGCATGTGGAGGAGCAGAGATGTGAACCCGGTTCCCCAGATTACGAGACTACCGCTCTTAACCACTACACCACACTGGCTCTCATGAGCTATAGAGGAAAATAAGCAAATATGAGCTATAGAGGAAAATAAACAGAAGCTGTGCTCAGTACTATCAACTATTGTTGTGGGTCAGGTGATCTTGCCCTTCATGGTAACATGATAGAACCTTTTACAGTTTTGTGCTGAAGAAGGAGATGGAATAACTTTTTAATTTTAAAAAAACGGAAACTGGGGCAGGGAATGCTAAGTACACACCTAAAAGTATGCAGAATGAGGTAATAGCACAGTGTGGCTGGTTTCTGAGGGAAGATGTTGTTGTGAAGACTAACGCTTACATAAGATCCTCAGTTTTAGCAGATGAAATAGGAGGTATTTCTGGCATGGAACAACTGTCTCTAGGTGTAAGATTTATGGAAGAAAGTGATGGGAATGTACAGGAGGAATTTTGGGGTTGGTTTCAATCTCAGACCAAGCTACAGTAGGCATAGCCGGCCAAATTTCATCTGCTTGTTCTGATTTTGGACTAGATCTCTAAGCTGGTTGGACAAGGATGCAATGGTTGTGCAACTATAGGGCAGGAAGAGAAGGTGGGATTCAAGCACAAATCAGGACAACCTATCCTTAGGCAACCTTTGCCCACTGCTCATCCCATAAACTTTATCTCACTGTAAATGGTCTGAAAGGGGTAAATGTGCATAATAGAGTTGGCACAATTAAACCATCATTAAAAAGTTTCTGTGACAGCATCCAAAGATGGCATCTAATAGTCAACATGTAGTTTGCCCACCTTTGGTCCCCACCCTGTGGGGGCTCTCACCTGTGGGCTCTCACCTGTGGCCCCTAGGGGCTCTCACCTGTGGCCCCTAGAAGCTGTTGGCATGTGCAGGGGCCACCTTTGGTAATATGCTGCCCTGTGCGAGGCCATTAAATGCCTTCCCCCCAGCCCTCGCAGTGCCAGCTTATGACAGGCTTTGGGAAGACCACTCCCTTTCCCCGGGGGGTGGAGTTGTGGGCGGGCATCCGGGACTGGGTAAGCCTGGTTCGTGAGAAGGGGAGGTTGTTGCCTCCGCCTGCCCCTCCTCATAAAGAGTATTCCGTTAAAGGGATCCGGGGTGTGGATCCTGTTTGAAGCCTGGGCGTGGGATAGGGCCATGCCACAACCCCAGTGGGGACCCTGGGAGTTCTCTTAATTCCTGTATATCATAGGGCACCCCCTATCGGTGGTTGACCCTTAAGAGACTTCCTGCTGGTGTGCAGGAGTCATGATATAGTCGGTTTCACCCAATGCCTAAGCCAAACCACTCACATCTGTAACCAATAAAGTTGTGGCCTTATTTATCCTATTAACTCAAAATATTTGTGTCCGTGTGTTTATTATCTAAGGGGAACTTTGGGCCCTGGGGCCTCGCCACACAAAGAGGCGTGCTATTAAAATGACAGCACTTTTCCAATTATAACATGCATAATTGAATGATTCTTTAGCACTTTGCTCAGGGTGAATATATGGCGATGTTCATCAATGAGTGAAGATCAATTGTCTGGCTTGTGTGACTTATGTGTCCGTAGAGAAAAGCTGAGGACTTATCCCAAATTTGTAGAAGAAACTAATGACCATTTTGGCTAATACTTTTGAAGGCACGAATTTCCTTAAAAAAAATATTCCTCTTTGTATTATAGTTTCCTTGATGTCATGGACAGACAAGTGTGAACAAAAGAAGTCTGACTGGTTTCAGAGCTTATATCACAGCCAGGGCAAATTCTGTGTAAGATGTGTGAAACTTAGCCTTGGGTTTTAAATTTGGTTTAGAGTCCTGCAGTATTGTTGTTAAACAAACAAAGTAATTTGTTAGACGTTAATTCTGAAATGCATAATCCCATACAATGCAGAAAATCACCAACAGCCACAGCCTGTCATCATGGGTGTAGGCAGGATTTGGGGGGGGAGAAGGGGGGCAAAATGTTCTTGAGCTTTTTTGGGGAGATTGCCCCCAAAAGATGTTGAGCTTCTTATAGGGGCATAACCTCAGTTAATTAAGTATTTTTAATGCTTTTCAATACTTTTTGAGGATTGGGGGGGGCAGCTGCCTCCCTGCCTCTCCTTAGCTACACCCATGCCTGTCATTGTATTGTTCCTCTTTAGCTCATTGAGTTCAGTCCTATAAAGACTGCAGATAGTTAACAACCTGTAGTTACAAGTCAGTCCTTGCCACACCCTGAATTATTCCTGCAGACACCCATGCATACTTGCGACTCAATCCAATGTATGTATGTTTACTGCTTTACTCTCAGGTACATATGCACAAAATAGCAGCTTGAATGTCTGTTATCTTTTTTTTATGTACCAGAACCTGCAGGTCTCTTATGAGAAAATATTTGGGTTCACATCCTCTGCAAAATCCCTGGGAAAAAAATGTCTATTGAACACAGTGGGGCTTACTTTTGAGGAAACAGCGACAGACTTTTCACTGTTAAGGTTTATGTGCCCTGTGGTTCACCTATAAGCTTATCTAAACTTGTTCCAATTAGTTCTAAATTAGTCATTTATAGAACACTATGCAAATTTATTTCTGCCACATCATTGACTGGTTGGGATCGTAATGTGTGATTAGAGAGATCTACTTGGAGGAGTTCCAGATTTTACGGATGAGAAAATGATTGTTTTTGACAGAATATGGACAAACAGATGACTTATGGGATTCCACCCCACCCCCCTTTTTGCCATCAGTCAGCTTAGAGAGACTGCCAAAAGGTTGTGTTTGCCAGCATACAGTGGGAGTTATGACAGGCTATTTTAAGACTCTTTTTATATAAAGGAACAAAGCTTGTAATAGAGAACACCTATTAGCATTAGATGGAAACTGGGTATGCCAACAGCATGAGTTGGTGATAAAGACAGTTAAAGCAGTCCTTTTTGTCAATAAAAAAAATGCAGTCATGGTTACATCTCATCACATCTGTGTTCAAATACAATAAATAACATGATCTTACCTGAAAGTTAGGGACGCGGATGGCACTGTGGGTTAAAACCACAAAGCCTAGGGCTTGCTGATCAGAAGGTCAGTGTTTCGAATCCCCGCAATGGGGTGAGCTCCCGTTGTTCGGTCCCAGCTCCTGCCAACCTAGCAGTTCGAAAGCATGTCAAAGTGCAAGTAGATAAATAGATACCACTCCGGCGGGAAGGTAAACGGCGTTTCCGTGCACTGCTCTGGTTCGCCAGAGGCGGCCTAGTCATGTTTGCCACATGACCCGGAAGCTGTACGCCGGCTCCCTCGGCCAATAAAGCGAGATGAGCGCCACAACCCCACAGTTGGCCACGACTGGACCTAATGGTCAGGGGTCCCTTTACCTTTACCTGAAAGTTAATCCAGGTTACTTAGAAGGTGACACTATCCCAACTATGCAGGGGTGGGGAACCTTTTCTGACTGATGGGCCAGATTGTACTCTCTCTACCCTCAAGAGGCCTAATTTGATATGTGGATAGGGCTGGCCACCTATCAATCGCCTGATACAATAGTGACATCAGGTGAAGTTGCGCTTTGAAGCCCCAATTGTCAGAACATCAAAGGTCAGAGTCCGGCTTCTTGAAAGCCCTTTGCAGGCAGCTCCATGCTGCTCCTTTAAATATCTGATGGGCAGACAAGAGTGTGCCTTGCTCTGGGGCAACCCAGCCAGATGGATGAGGAAATAACAACAACAACAACAACAACAACAACAACAACAACAGAATATGACATCCCTATTTTCATCGGAGAAATGTTAGAGGGTATGAATTATGTCAATGTCCATTGATGTTTTTATGGAAGTAAAAATTATTTTCAAATGTGTTTCTCTATTCTTTTCAGCAGCTTTGCAAACAGCAAAACAATGAAATGAAATAAGTGCTAATTGCTTCAAGCTTTCCCTCCATTCTGGTACAATATTTTCTTTTCGGTGGGATTTTAAAATTATTGACAGGGTTTTTACTATATATATTCTTATATATTTAACATAGTCACTTGTTGTTAGAAGGAGATTTACAAGTAATCCTGATGCCTTCTAAGAAGAAAAACAAGTTTAATTGAAAACATCCTAGGCATCTCAAGCCAGATCTTTGTCTTCCTTTGTTGTCCTAAGAGAATTTTTTAGTAACTTGACTTTCTTCAGTTCCTGATGCAAAGCTTTAAGGTTTTCAGTGCAGTTCACACCGCAGAAAGATTAGCGAGGGGGGGGGGTAAAAATAAACTGGTGCATCTGTGATAACACACCAGATCATCATGAAATCTGTTTCCAGATTGGAAGTCTCCATATTAAAAAAATCAAATGTGCAAGATGTTCATATGGTCAGGTACAAAAAGGGTTGGGTATAATCTGCTGAAAGCCATGCAAGGGATGTAGTGACTGTCCTATGTGGAATGATGGAAAGAGCTGTGACTTCATAGCCTCCTGCAAGCACAGGCAATGGCCAAAGACATGATGGAAGTATTTCAGCAACACCTGGAGGACCAAAGATTATCCACCCCTGGCCTAGGTTAAGGAAACCATCACTAAGTTCTGCTCTCCAGAAACTCATTACTTGTTTCTTGGAACCCACACCTGACTAGTTGAGGCTGGCTGGCTTCTTATATCTTGCCAGGTAAGTCCCTGAATCCTTTAACTAAGCAGTCTGTTAGGGATGCTATGAATAGCCACAATTTCCTGCTCCCAAGGAAAAGATCACATATTCACCATTGCAATAAATCCCCGAACTGGGTTTCCAAATATTATTGTTAGGCTAGAGTGGAGGGAGCAGTGGCTTAATCATACAAGATGTTGTTCAATAAGAACTTAGCCTTCGCAATAATGGGGGGTCGTTGATGCAAAAAAAGAAAGAAAGAAATTTAAATCAATTGAATCATAGGAGTCGGAGGGCACCTTGGAAGTCGTTCGTCCCAAGCTCTTGCTCATGTAACTGGCAACAATTAGTTGCAGGACGGTCTCTGTTTTCCATTGCAAAATGTAGCGGAGAATTATGCCTGCAGTGTGCAGCAATGATTTGGCCACATCTATTGGAAATCACATATCTGCTTTTCGGGATAGCTATCCTAAATATATGATGCCAAAGGGAGGGAGAATGGAAATAGCAGTGGACAGTTTTTGCACCTCCCTGGGACCAGCCACCACCTTGCCACTGCCTGTGTTTCCTATAATCTTGGTTCCATCTTGAAACTCCTTCTGGATCAACTTTCTGGCTCTGAATCCAACTCAGAGATACAACTAGATCTGTTAAGCCCAAGCCCGTTCATTTTTGGAACCAGTCTTACAAAGCTGTTCGCATCCAATTCCATGTCTACCCTCCTGAAATTCCCACATAATGCAAACATAATTTTGAAGGTGATAATAAACAGTCCCTTTCCCAGCACTGCCTGCTTAGACCACGGTGCCAAGCACATATTGTGCCAGAAGTATTAGTGGGTGCCACTGAAATGTTCTATATTCCAGGGGAGTTCAGTGTGCTCTGGTGTGAAGTGCAGCATGTTCCACTAGCTTTGGCTTGATGTTTGCTTAGTAAAGCTTGTTAGTAACAGAACTGAAAATTGGAGATTGGTGCCAAGTTCTTTATGGGGCTCAAGCTTTTCTCCAGCGTGCATTTATTTTAATGGAGTTATTGCCAATTGTAGTCCCATCCATGAGACTAATTACGGGTTTCTTCATATGGGCCAGCTCTTCTGTAATCCTTTCTGATTTCACCCCTTGGAAAATGGTAGCAGGAGGCAACTATTTTCCACTGGTGTGCATATTTAGTTGCATTTTTATTAGCGTTCCCCAAAGAGTGGTTATCTAAGATGCAATCAGAGCCACACTCCATCAGATTAGGGGACCATATTTGAATCAATCAGCTGCCTTGGAGGAACGAAGCTATTCCTGTGCTGAAAGTACTGTGTTAGTAGTAGTACCCCTGACTCCTGGAACCATGATTCTCATATCTAGTCATATATACATTGTGGGGGAAATGCAACAACTTATAATAAACATCTTAGGGCTGTTTAACTCTACAACAGCCCTAAGATGTTTATTATAAGTTGTAGCATTATAAGTTGTAGTAAGAGGGGATATACTTGTGACATTAACATATATGAGAGAGTGCTGGAGGGGAAATAGTTAAATAGGCTGCACAGTCAGGACCCAGGGGGGTGGAGTCAGTGGGACTATAAAACCAGTTCTGGGGGGAGTTCGTTGGGAGTTGTTGGTGGGTAGTTGGTGGGTTTTAGTGGGTTGGCTGGTTGGGAAAGGCAGTTGGTAATAGAGAGACAGTTAGGGCAGTGGGTTGTTGAGTGTGGGGAGGTAGAAGAGATAGAGAGAGGAAAATAAGACTAAGAAAGTAAAGAGCAACAACGTTTGGAATGCCATAAAAGTTTGTTTGTGTCTGAAATAAAATACACTCTTCTTTATTAATTGAGAAGCTGACTGAGACTGAAGTGATTTTACCAGGGAGGACCTGGTTGGTGGCAGCGGATTAGTGAGACGATAGTCCGTGAGACGACCCGGGGCTCCGTACGAATGCCACAATACTGTATAGTCATTTATAAAATTATGCATGCCATGGAGAAAGTGGAGAAAAGCTTTTTTCCCCTTTCTCACAACACTAAGACTCATGAACATTCAGGGAGGCTGCTTGTAGGAAGATTGAGGTCAGGTAAAAAAATAAAAATCACTTCCTCACGCAGTGCATAGTTAAACTATGGACCACAGAAGACATTGATGGCCACTAACTTGGATGGCTTTAAAAGAGGATTAGACAAATTCATGGAAGATAAGGCTATCCTTGGCTACCACCCATGGAGGCTATACTTTGCCTCCTGTCATAGGCACTATGGGTTCTGAGCACCAGTTGCTAGAAACTTCAGTGGGGGAGAGTGCCCTCAAGCTTGAGTCCCGCTTGCCAGTTTCCCAACAGCCATTTGGTTGGCTGCTGTGAGAACGGGATGATGGATTGGACTGGCCATTGGCCTGATCCAGCAGGTTACTATGTTCTTAGAGTTAACCTTTTCCAACATGCCAAGCACTTTTGCAAAGTTAAGTGCATGAAAGTGACACACGGATCTCCAGCTGTGATGATTTCACACGATTAGAGCCAGTGCTGGACCATAAGCTACTGAGCATGTATAAATTGAATCGTGAGCTGACATTGGATAGAGACATGAGCAATGGGGAACAGCCACATGTTGGGCTCAGGATGGAATTGGAGGCAATTGCCAGTCAAGCTCTGGAACCCAACGAGTCCTATGACAATAGAATTATTGGCAGAGCCCAGTACTATTTAATATTATTTGTTTAATTTATATATTGCCCTTCACTGGAAGTTCCCAGTTCCCAGGATTCTTTGGGGAAAGTGGTATAGAAGAGTGCTTTAAGTGCTTTAAGGGGGCAGATGTGACCCCTATTTCACTAGGTATGCATAAAAGGTGTACATGTGCTTGCCATGGCTTGCCCGTGCATACACTCACAGCAAACAGATACCTATGTGATAATCCTGTTTATGTGAGACAATTCATCGGCTATTTCATATTTCTTCCTACGTGGGAGTTGTTTCCAGGTAGTTAAAATGTAATGCTTAAAGTGTCCCTCAGAAGGCTATTTCTCTACCCCTGTTGAAACACCCAGAACCAGTGCGTTTCCCCCTAAAAATAAATAAATGTTTAGGGGTGCTCTCAGTTTGACTGAAGAAAATCACCATTTTATAGTTGAAATCAGGGAAAATAAATACAGTAAATGGACAAAAGTACAAAGATTCACAAAATGTTTAGGGGTGTATCCCTACGTCTCCCCAGAAAAAAAGCACTGCCCAGAACAGACCCCATTGTGAGTTTCCATTGTTTATAAACTTGTGACCTGGCAAATGAAGCTGGGAGCAACTCTCTGCAAGCTCTCCCACGTTTCCACATCTATCATGGGCCATGGGCATCGCATCTTAAAATATAATCTATAACATCCCCAAAATAAAATAGACTTGTGTCTAGAGGCAACTTAATTCTCATTCTCCCACCAAACCTTGTCTCAGTTTGATAAAGTACTTGGTATGAGTTTCCAATTGGAACG